AGTAAGACTTGGGGTTGGGATAAGTTAATAAATGTTAAGGTTTTTTTTTTTAAATCAAAAAATCAAGAAATTTAGATTGGGAGATTGGAGCCCTCACAAGGCTTAGGGTTAAAAACCCCATTTTGCTTAATATATAGTATAGATATAGATGTCTCATTTTGGACTTTAATTTTTTACATTTCAGGTATGTAATAGAGAATCTTCATTATATATTTAATAGTTATAAAATAGGAATGTAAATTTATAATTACTTTTAATTAAAAAAATATTACAATGGAGATGATCACAATCCTCTCTATAAAAATTTCCTGTGCATTTAGGTTTTGTCCAACAAAAATCAACTGTAGGTCTCGTTTGGGATGCTACCTTTTTAGTCAATTAGTCAAAAAGTTACTAAATTAGCCAATTAGCCAATTAGTCATACCAAAAATTCAACAATTACGGCTTCTCTCTACTTTTTGTACAGCTTTTCGTAATTAGTCAAAAAGTCATCCCAAACATACAAGTTTTTTTTACCTACTTTTTTAGCTAATTAACCAAAAAGTTACTAAATTAGCCTGTTCCCAAACGAACTAAAAAAATTATAAAAAATATAATGTAAATGGAGTTATCATCCAAGAAATAAGTATTCTATTTCTTTAAATTTCATTCCAGAAAACCAAACTTACAAATTTTTGCATCAATCTTTAAAGTGAAAAATATGGATGTAACATGCAAGATGGAGAGGATGTATATAAATTGTAACATGCCACCTTTCAAATTAATTTCATCCATAGAAATCAAAACATTTTGTCAAAAGGATATCACATAGATGTATGTAATAGTGTTTTATTTTTATATTATATAAAAAGGTGGAAAAGAAATCTCAAATTGTATCTTAAAATAGAAGTGACAGCACATGCAACTTTGTACAGAGAAATATAAATAAATCAATAAATAAAAAATTATACAAAATAATATGGTTAAATTACAATCTTTCACTTTAAACTCTTAAATTACAATCTTTCACTTTAAACTCTGTTGGAGAATTAAATGGAGATTAGTTTTGAGAATAATGGCCACGTGTTCATAAATTTTTTTAGTGTTAAAAGACATGGAAGTGATGCTATTTCCTATCAGATATATATTTTACAAGACTCTATGTGAAATTTATTATATTTATTTCTACTGATAACAAAATTAAATAAAAAACAAGTTTATGTATTACATTTTCTTTCTGTTTAACGTATTATATTATAATGAAATGTGATGAATTACAATAATAATTGAAAATAAAAAATATCATAATTAAGGGTAAATTACATTGACCTCCTTTGAGATTTAAAAAAATATATAGTAAGTCTCATAATTTTGATATAATTACATTGATCTCCCTTTTAGTAATAATGTTAAATAGATTGAAACTAATCTAAAGAGTGCGAAAACACAAAAATAAACAATATGAAAGATACATTTTCATGTAAAAATATGACAGCATTATTTTTTTATCCATATAACTAAAAAATTATTAATGAAAAAGGGAGTTACGTGTTATAAGATTAAAATTTCAAGAAAATAATCAGTGTGTTCGGTTTAAATTTTCTAGATTCAATTTTCTAGAAATTGAGTTTTTTATTTTTCCCATTTTTTTGTTTTAAGTGAATATTTTTAAAATTTTAAGCAATTTTTAATTTTAATTTTTTTTTACTTTTTTAAATGCACCTTACTTAAATGTATCTAAAAAGTAAAATATTTATAAAAAAAAATATTTTAAAAAATCAATAAATATACAAGAATACGAAAAATGTACTGAATTCTGTTTTTTTTTTTTTTTGTATTTTATGTATTTAGTGAATTTTCTAAAGATTTTTTTTACAAATATTATACTTTTTAAGCATATTTATGTTAGGTGTATCTAAAAATTAAAAAAATTGCTTAGAATATTAAAAAAAATCATTAAAAACAAAAAAAAAATAAAAAATAAAAAATTTATTTTTCTGAAAAGTGAATCTTGAAAACCCAAACCAAACTAAACTAGCTGAAAGTAATTATATCAAAATTATAGGGACTTAATAAATTTTCTTCATACTTCTAGGGAGGTTTTTGTAGTTTACCCTTTAATTAATAGAAACAAGACATAAAACAAATTTAATAGAAAGAAAGGAAAGAGAAATTTCAAATAAATATAAAAAAATAAAAATTCATCCATAAGTTGAAAAATTCAAACCATGATTTTTTAATGACATGAAACTCTTAGTTCTCAAAGTTGAAGGAAGAAATTTCAAAAAAATATATATATAAGAAAAGCAAAGGTAGCGTTTGGTAGAGTTTTAGAATTAAGATTTGAGAATAGAGTTATATTTTGAGTTTGTGAGTTTTGAAATTATGATTTGAAAAGAAAAAATTTGTTTGGTTATGAGTTTTGAAAAGAGTGTTGAATTGAGTTTTGAATTTTTGATATGACATATGAAATGAGAAAAGTTGTTTGGTTATTTAGAAAAGAGTTTTTAAAACTTAATTCGCTACCTTATAACTCATAACCAAATACACAATTCAAAACTCTATTGAAAGTTCTATTCAAAACTCAAAACCAAACTCTTTTTAAAATTCAACTCAAAAAAATAATTTGTCATTTTTGTCTAAAAAATAATTTCTATATTTAAAAAAAAATCAAAAACAAATTTTTTTTTTTCTTCCAAATAACAAGTGGCGATTGGCGAAAAAAAAATGTACTGTTCCAATCAACCGGTTGGACGGACAACTGGATAGACTAAAAATTTAAAAAATGTCTTGTTTACCAAACATATTTTCTAAATATGTTTTGAAATTTATTTGGAATCATGATTTGAAAACTCTTACCAAACATAGGTCCCGTTTGATAGAGCTGTGGAAAAATGATTATAAATTATAGCTTAATAGATTATAACTTATAGCTGTGAACATAAGCTGATAACCTATTTGGTGCAGCTATGGGATTATAGATTTAAGCAGCAGAGTAGTGTTTGATAAATAAGTTGTAAAATAATTATTTCTGTATAATTGTCATTTTTGCCCTTATAAGATATAAAATTTGTGATTTCATTTATAATACATTTTTTTTCTTTTTCTTTTTCATTTTTTTTCCTTTTTCACCTTATTTTCTTTTCTTTTTAAATTTTTTTTTCTTCTCTTCTTTCTTTGTTAATTTTTTTTAATTTATTAATTCATTAAAATTAATATTCATGTTCTAATTTATATTAATGAATTCTCAAAAGTAATTTTTTTAATTATGAAAAGTAAATATTAATTGAAATAAATTGTTGTAAATATTAAAATTAGTATCATTTTGTCCATCAATTATTATTATGATTATTTTTCATATTATTATTATTCTTTATTATTATTCATTTTAATTATTTTTAGTAATATTTCATTTTTAGTAAATATTAATTCTCAAAAGTAATTTTTTTAATTATGAAAAGTAAATATTAATTGAAATAAATTGTTGTAAATATTAAAATTAGTATCATTTTGTCCATCAATTATTATTATGATTATTTTTCATATTATTATTATTCTTTATTATTATTCATTTTAATTATTTTTAGTAATATTTCATTTTTAGTAAATATTAATTCTCAAAAGTAATTTTTTTAATTATGAAAAGTAAATATTAATTGAAATAAATTGTGTTAAATATTAATTCTGAAAAGTAATTTTTTTAACTTTTTTTCATATTAACTATTAATTCTGTTTTTATTAATTCTGAAAAGTAATTTTTTCTTTTTAATTAATATTAACATTGATATTTTTCTCTTTTTTTAGTTTATTTTCAATTTTTTTTTTAATTTATTTTCTAGGGTTTGAAAAGCACAGGGGCGACGACTGGTGACGGTTCAGATCGCGACGGCATTCGTTTAGATCGTGACAGCATTGGTTCAGATCGACGACGGAGCTTGGTTCAGATCGATTGACGACAGCATTGGTTCAGACAAACAGAACTTCGCGATCGCGATGGCGACGAACCCGAGATCGACCGGCGCCATGGATGTAGCGCAGAGAGAGAGACAGAGAGAGAGACAGAAAGGGCGAGGAAGAGAGAGAGCAGAGAGAGATCTTTGTTTCATTGTCGGAGCGAGGGACACGTCGCCGGAAATCGCATGCGTCTCTCTCTGGTTCGTGAACAGTGTTGAGATGTGGTGATATATATATATAGTGGCATTTTCGTAAATAATGGAGATTAGGAGGTGCATTTAAGTCATTTTAGTACCCTGTATAACAGCTACGCGCTTAAGCTATCTCCAGACCCACTTGGAAAATAAGCTGAAAATTAGCTTTATTAAGCTATAAGTTGGTGAAATAATTTTTACCAAACATTCTAAAATAACTTATTTTAAGTTATAAGTGGCTTTAAGCTACAAATAAGTTTTACCAAACGGAACTATAGAATTAAAATATAAGGGTAAAATTAGTTTTGGAAAGTTTTACCAAACACAACAAACAAACAACCAAACAAAAAAATCACACTTCAAGCTTTAATCTTTTAACAACATACAATGAGGGTCCTTTCTTGACAAGTGGTTATTTTAATTAACAAAATGTCATTAAAGTTAAAAGGTTAAAAATATTTTAACTCATACCAAAAAGAAAGATTTTTTTTTTTTATTTTCATTTACTCTACAAAATCAAAATTTCATTTTTATTTGCACTACATTTTTATATCTTTTTTTTTTTTGAAAAAAATGAAAAGGTCTATTGAAAATATATTAATTTTTTCCATATCATATTTTAATCAAAAAAAATTATTAAAAATCACTCCCTAGATGAACCATAATTCTGATCAACTAAATTAATTCATTTTTTTAAACTAAAAAATAAATAAGTAAAAAAATAAAAGTTATAAGGTCATCTATGTGAGATGACATATTGATAATCTATCAACTAGAGAAGTGACTACAACATTAATTTCACCTAATTCCAACTCTCTATGGATCATCATCACCTCTTCCTCCTAACTAGAATTTAGAAACCAAAAAAGAGAAAAAAGAAGACAACGAAGAACAAGAAGAAAGAGAAATTCACAAGTCGAGTTGTTTTTCTCTAATAGAAATAGAAACACAGCAAATATATGCAAACAAACTCCATTTTTAGTAATCTTTATCATTATTTATATGGTAGACGATTAATTAGATTTGGTACAGCCACTACCCAACCGTGAAAAACGACGAAGACTTCTTCAGCAACTCAACTCTCTTCCCGCATTTCTCGCCATCCAAACACCTCTCTCTCTCTCTCTCTCTCCGAATAACATTACACAAAACAGAGACAGCATTTTCCAAAGACGATGATGGTCTGATCACAGCAACACATCACAAACATTCCCTGGAACCGACCCAGAATTCTCAACTCCCAAGGTAAAAAAAAACTCTCAATCCCACTAACCTCTGTGTGTGTGTGTGTGTGTGTGTGTGTAAAGAAACAAGGACGATGACAGTCTGTAAATGGGGGACCAATGCCATAAAAAATACGACACAAAACCGTCGTCTTCGTCTCCAAACTTTAAAAATACACATATGAACCAGTTTTTAATGGTGGATGAGACAAAACAGCGAACACATAGTGGGCGATATAGCGATTAACCCATGATTGTATGTGCAGAGTTTTGGCCCTTTGCACAATCACAACAATACTGAACAATAAAAAAAAAGGAAAAAAGAAGAAGCTATGATGGTTTTTTTATGCTCTGTATTTTGAAATATATATATATATATATATATGTAGTATCTGTGATTGAATTTTGTGGATATTGTTTTGGGTTGAGAACAGAGGGGGAGGTGGAGAAATGGGAACCACTGACGGCGGAGACGTCAGCTGCTGCGACGGCCGTGAAGAGAGGATTTTGGTATCGGTTCGGTTGAGGCCTTTGAACGAAAAGGAGATTGCGAGGAATGATGTGTCTGATTGGGAATGCGTCAATCAAAACACCATTATTTTCAAGAACAACAATCTTCCAGTGCCCGAGCGATCCATGTACCCCACTGCCTATACATTTGGTATGCAAATGCTCTTTTTCCTTCATTTTATTGTCAAATTTGACTATTTTGGTGTGGTTTATGTATGTTGGAAATGTGGACTTTTGTTGATTTGTTAAGCGATGCTGGTTTTTTTTTAAGAGGATCTGAGTCGTTTTTTGAGCTTAAATCTGCAGCATTTGCCATAATTGATGAGTCAAACATGAAATATCTTCTTACAGGGGATAATGAAACCATCTTTTTTGGATTTGTATATCCACTTTTTTGGGCAATTTGGAGTTATCCAAATGCAATTTGGATTTGCATCCACCAGTTTCTTGGAGGGTTTCCATTTTGGTGTAAATATATATATATATATATATATATTTTCAGCGTGGTGTATGTTTGTTGAAAATTTGGGTCTTTGTTGGTTTGTTTATATGAGTTTTTGAGAGGATTTGATCTGTTTTGTGAGCTTCAATCTGCAGAATTTTCCATAATTGATGACTCAAACCTGAAATATCTCCTTTCAGGGGATAATAAAACCATCTTTCTTGGAATTGCATCCACTTTTTTGGGCGATTTGAAGTTTTGGCTATGCAATTTGGATTATTTGTATCCAATTTCTTGAATTATTTATACCAAATTCAGGTTTCTCTGTGGATATCAATTTTGCATATGGGCCTACATGTTAGTTTTCATCAGAAACCAAAGTTTGAGAGCAAACCTGTTTATGCAGAATTATTGATATAACTTAACATCATATCAGACTTCGTTTCATGGCTCGAAGACTCTTCCTGATCTCTCTTTTTTCTGTTAGACAGAGTATTTAGGACTGATTGCTCCACAAAGCAGGTGTACGAGGAAGGAGCCAAGGAAGTAGCTCTTTCAGTTATCGGCGGTATTAACTGTGAGTATATCCCCTTCCTCTTTGCTTCTCCATTTTCCCTGTAATTGAATTTCACTTGAATTCTATTGACAGTTTTCCTTATTTCAAATGATGGACATAAATTCCAGCTACTGTTTTTGCATATGGACAAACAAGCAGTGGAAAGACATACACTATGACAGGAATTACCAAGTGTACCGTAGCAGATATTTATAAATATATAGAAAAGGTAATCAAGAAACTGATATCGTTGATTCTCACTATTTCTTGTTTCTGTCTTCTATTATGATCCTTGGTTTTTCACCTGTTTGTTGATTATATGGTTGTTGTATTTGCAGCATAATGAAAGACAATTTCATTTAAAGTTCTCTGCTATGGAGATTTACAATGAATCTGTCAGGGACCTCCTCAGCACAGATAGTACTCCACTTAGGCTTCTTGATGATCCAGAGGTCAATTACTTTCTTGGTATACTATACCTTAAGAAGCACTGATACTCCAAGATGGGTGTTGTTTTCGTGTCCAACATGGCGGGACACATGTCCATGTGTCTGACATGCCAAGTGGTGTGTCAAATTTTTTTTAATTATTATTAGTTTTTTGGACATGTTGGGGACACTTCATGGTCACGCGTGTTCTGTGTTTGAACACACTTCCGGACAACTTTGTTGGTTTTTAATTTTTTTAAAGAAAGCTTTCTTGGCAGTCCTTGAGCATATGGCCCCAGGCATGACAATAGTGACACTCAGACAGGAATGCATGACGGCTATGGGAATAAAGAGAAAAAAAAGTTTAAAAAAACTAAAAATACCCACATATACATTGATGCCTGCATCCTAAATTTATATTCATAATATCATACACATATAGTAAATAAAATATATAAATACTTTTTTTTTTCCGTGTCCTCACCGTGTCCGTGTCCTTGTCCTTGTCCTAATTATTGAGAATTGTTGTGTTCTGTATTTGTGCTTCTTAGGCTGTACCATTAGTATTAGATATTTTCCCATTGCACTTAATTTTAGCTACATTTACAGAGAGGGACAGTCATTGAGAAACTGACAGAGGAGCCTCTCAAGGATTGGAATCATGTAATGGAGCTTCTTTCCTTCTGCGCAGGTAAAGATATTCCTTAGTAGCTGTTCTTTTGCTAAATGACACGAGACCGCATATTCTAAACATGGTGCATTCTCGCAGCTCAAAGACAGATAGGGGAGACTGCCCTGAATGAAACAAGTTCTAGATCTCATCAAATCATCCGACTGGTAGGAATGCTGTTTACTGTAGTAGTTGTTCTTAACAATCATGTGAATCGGCACCACTTAGCATGTTGACTTTTCCATTTAATTGGCTAACCGATTTTGCAGACAATTGAAAGTTCTGCTCGGGAGTTTTTAAGCAAGGACAGCTCAAGCACCCTTGCAGCTTCTGTGGTATGAATCATTTAGTTTTTATTAAGGTTAATAATAAGATGTTGATATGTAGAATAATAAGCTGTGATTGTTTTTTAATACATTTCTATGTAGAATTTTGTTGATCTTGCGGGTAGTGAGCGTGCATCTCAGTCATTATCAGCTGGCACGAGGCTAAAGGAAGGTTGCCACATAAATCGCAGTTTACTGACCCTGGGAACCGTTATCCGCAAGCTAAGGTTAGCTTTTTTCCATTCTCTCATTTTGATTACGAAATGTCTTGAAGTCATTGCTTGGAAAGTTAAGAATTTGACCCACAATGATATCTCCAATGAAGGTTTCACAACTTGACACTCAAAACTAGCACATCAGAAAGACTGTGAATGCCCAAACCTCCTGTTACGCTCACACCTTCCTCCGTAACAGGGAGGCAAAGAGACAATCATTCAAAGCTAACACTCCCTCTTCTTTCACTTTTCACTGAACCATAGATTTTTGGCTTTTGTTTAAATTTGGCTCTCTTCGATCTTTTCTGTGTTTTTCATTTGATTGTATTATTTGAGACTGAATATTGGAACTTGTGCTTGTTGCTCATTTCTGTTGTCTTGTGGGTGGGTACAGCAAAGGAAGAAATGGACATATTCCTTTCAGAGATTCTAAGCTAACCCGCATATTGCAATCCTCGTTAGGAGGCAATGCTAGAACTGCAATCATCTGTACCATGAGCCCTGCTAGAAGTCTTGTTGAGCAATCAAGAAATACACTCTTGTTTGCTTGTTGTGCTAAAGAAGTGACAACTAGCGCTCAAGTTAACATAGTCATGTCAGACAAAGCACTAGTAAAGCATCTACACAGAGAGTTGGCTAGATTGGAGAGTGAACTGAGAAGTTCAGGATCCACTTTGGTCAGCTCACATCATGCTGCCTTACTGCAAGAGAAGGACCTTCGGATTGAAGAGGTAATGATAGGACTTTTACTATTAAATTGTAACACTCTTGAATTTTAGGAAGTCAATTCCAATTATGTCGAACAACTTCCACATCGAAAAGAAAAAAAGAAAAAGCTTTTATCTACTCAAATATATTTACATAAGGTATATAATTTCTAAGCCTCTTAAAATCTATGCTGTGGTACTTGTGAATCCAAAATTGAACTATATAAAATCCAATAGAATGAATTAGTTTGGCAACCTTAAGTTTAAGCTTTACTGTTGAACCCTTACTTTTGTTTCCATTCTTTCTCCATCATTCATAATTGGTTCCATCTTTTCTTTTAAGTTGCATAGCATTTTGCATCACTTCCATTTGTTTCCTTTCCGTTTTCCTTCTGTCATATTGAACTTTTTGCATATTTTTCATTCTTACATTGGACACGCAAAAGGAATTTTGGCCCATTCACTCATTTCAAGCTTTTATTCCTAGTCTTGTCTTTAAGCCTTATACAACCTTCATTGGACACACAAAAAGAATTTTGTTGATTTATAATTGCTTAGCATAAAGTGTCTTGCTCTCTCATAATTTTTGAATTACTTGGATTGGCATGTGTTTTCATGCAGCTGTCCCAATTACTTGGCTTTTGAACAATCATTTCTTCTTCCTAGTCATCCTTAACGTGTCCAAAATGTTTATTTAATTATTTATTGATATTTTTTTTCCTCTCTTCTTGTGTAGCTGGAAAAGGAGATAATAGATCTGACTCTGCAACGAGACGTTGCCCAATCTCAGGTTCAGGATTTGCTACGATTGGTTGGGGATGAAGATTCAATGGTATGGCTAAATGTTAGTTAGTTAATTGAATCTTCCATTCTATCTTCATGTGCCTTGTCCTGTTAAGTTTCCTTTCTTCTTTCCTCTTCCAGGTAGGTTTGAATAACTACCCTCACTTGCGAGTTCAGAAATCACCAGATTCTGGAAATGCAACATCAAAAGCATCCCCTTCATCATATCCTCACTCCTTGGATGTTGGTGTCAGAGCATTTGACAGATCTCTGTGTTCTTATGGACGTGTGAGTAGTTTTGTTGATCACTACATACAAATTCCCAACTTTGAAGAAAACTTTCAGCAGAATGATGCTTCTCCACACCTATTGGTCACTACTGCTAACTTTGTTAGAAGCAATTCCGCAAATAGTTGGGACGAGATTGAGGAACAAACTAACGGAACTTCAGAGGATTTATGCAAGGACGTTCGATGCATTGAGACGGTAAGTACAGACCAAAATTCAGAATCCTATAGATCATCCCTTGAAGAAAATACCAGAATCTCAGAATTGATGATGGATGAGAATGGAGACAGAATGGATCAGGAAGACAGAACAGATCAGGAATTTGTGTCACAGCCAAACGAGGAAGATAGAGGGTTAAGTTACATCCCTCCTTTCGTTGCTCCTTCTCCTGAAATAACATCTCCGTGGCCATTAAGAAAGTATACATGTAGCTCTCAAAGCTTGCAGTTAACTAGAAGTAGTAGTTGTAAAGAAAGTTTAATGACTAGACCATATTCACCATTGTTTGAGAAGGTAGAAAATAATGAGAACACACCACCAAATGGGTTTGAGAGAGTCTTCACCCAAAGACCTGAAGGTATTCGTAGTAAGCTTTCTGAATTAAACCGTGGTGCTGATGTTGAGAGGTTATTGAGAAAAGGTTCAGAATCTTCTGTCGGGAGTGCTGCTGCTATTGAACTTGAAGCACAGGACACACTGCCAAATGGGTTTGAGAGAGATTTCAATAAAAGACCTGAAGGTATCAATAGAAAGCTTTCTGAATTAATTTATGGTGTCGATGCTGAAATGTTTTTGAGAGAAGATTCTCAATCTTTTGATGAGAGTGATGCTGCTATTGATCTCAAAGCAGAATCACAGGACAAAATTTCAACTGATGAGAATATTACTAGCATCAATGCAAGCATCACAGAAATTGAGGAAAAGGCTGAACTTCAGCACGAGGAGCAAGTTGCTGATAGCCTGGTGAGTTTTATACTTAATCGAAAAATGGCCGTAAAAAGTTATGCCTCAAAACATTGCCATGGCAAAAATTTTTGAACGAAACCTAGAGTTCCTTTTACTTGTCATTTTATGTTTCATCATTCCTGGCAGGTGCATGAGGCTGAACCGAAAGCCATGGAATCTATAAAAAGTGTGAAAGATGTTGGTTTGGATCCAATAGAAGATTATTCAATTTCAAAGAGTCCTTCAAACTGGCCCTTAGAATTCAAGAGGCTACAAAGAGAAATTATTGAACTTTGGCATGCTTGCTATGTGTCATTGGTGCACAGAACCCACTTCTTCCTTCTATTCAAAGGTGACCTGACAGACTCCATTTACATGGAAGTCGAGCTCAGGAGGCTATCCTTCCTTAAGGATGCGTTTTCTCAAGAAAGTAAGACTGTCGAAGAGGGTCAGATTCTCTCTCCTGCTTCAAGGTAAAATTTATATTCACCTAGAAGGTTGTCAGAAAAAAATAAAAAAAATGAAGATCTTTTACTAATGTTGGAATCATTCATCTGCGATTCTCTTTCTATTGTCCCAGTTTGGTAACACTTCAAAGCTAGCTTTTTAAAGTACGGTTTTTTAGATTATTGACTTAAAAAGCCTTGTATACTAGGAAGTATGGGTATTGCGAAAAACATGTCGTACCCTATGAAGCACGGACACGGATACGGACACGGATACGAACACGGGACACGGCAATTTTCAAAAAATGGGGACACGGACACAGACACGGCGGGGGACACGGCAAATTTTATTTTATTTATTTTATATATTTTTATGTGTTATGTAGATTCATATTACATTCATCCTAAATTAAAATTAACAAACACTAACATAGTAACATTAATTGAATAAACATAACCATTACATTTGAGAGGGTAATTTGTGAGCAAATTGGGCCGAGCTAAGACGAGTCTTCTTTGGAAGTTGGGCTGCGCAATGGGCCAACGAGATATTTTGTATTTCGGCTTTGGGTCGAGGTAGGTACCAAGACGGTTGGATGTGTTGCTGGGATTGGGACCTATTTACCTTCTGACCGGGATGATGGCAGGGCGATAGGCTGAGCTAGGTGTAGCTCGGCAGGATACCAACCTGTTGCATGGTCATCACAGCTCGCCCATGTTGAGCATGGAGCCGAGGTAACATCAATGGTGAGGGCCGAGCTGTGTATAGCTCGGCAGGGTGGCATTCGATAGATCGGCTTTCGATCACAAGGTCCGAATGGCAGGGGACCGAGATAAGACAGTTCGGTCAGGAATGTAAAACCGAGGTAAAGGGTTCAACCATCTCACTTGGCTTGCAATGATGAGACTCCTAGGAGGACTCTGCTAAGGAGAGTTAGAGTCCTACCGAGATTGTGCAAACCATCTCACTTGGTAGTGAGTAGGGTGTGTGATTCCTAGAAGGACTCTTATAAGGAGAGTTGAAATCCTACTAGGATTGTGCCAAGTAAAGTCTATAAAAGCTTATGACCAGACCTATGTACAGGTTTCTTAATTCTTACTCTAGAATACACAGAGCTTATTATCTATTGTCTAGTTGCTGACTTAGGCATCGGAGGGATTTCAGGCACACACCCGCCGGTTAGCTCACGTTTGTGTTTTCAGGTGGCAAAGCAACGTTGTTTGGAGGAGTGCAAACTTGATCAACAGGATCAATCATGCTATGCAGATGAAACTAAAGGGGCAATTGAGAGCGTAATTTGTGAACAAATTAGGCCGAGCTAGGACTAGTTTTCTTTGGAAGTTGGGTCGTGCAATGGGCCAATGAGATATTTTGTATTTCGGCTTTGGGTCGAGGTAGGTACCAAGACGGTTGGATGTGTTGCTGGGATTGGGACCTATTTACCTTCTGACCGGGATGATGGCAGGGCGATAGGCTGAGCTAGGTGTAGCTCGGCAGGATACCAACCTGTTGCATGGTCATCACAGCTCGCCCATGTTGAGCATGGAGCCGAGGTAACATCAATGGTGAGGGCCGAGCTGTGTATAGCTCGGCAGGGTGGCATTCGATAGATTGGCTTTTGATCACAAGGTCCGAATGGCAGGGGACCGAGATAAGGCAGTTCGGTCAGGAATGTAAAACCGAGGTAAAGGGTTCAGCCATCTCACTTGGCTTGCAATGATGAGACTCCTAGGAGGACTCTGCTAAGGAGAGTTAGAGTCCTACCGAGATTGTGCAAACCATCTCACTTGGTAGTGAGTAAGGTGTGTGATTCCTAAAAGGACTTTTATAAGGAGAGTTGAAATCCTACTAGGATTGTGCCAAGTAAAGTCTATAAAAGCTTATGACCAGACCTATGTACAGGTTTCTCAATTCTTACTCTAGAATACACAGAGCTTATTATCTATTGTCTAGTTGCTGACTTAGGCATCGGAGGGATTTCAGGCACACACCCGCCGGTTAGCTCACGTTTGTGTTTTCAGGTGGCAAAGCAACGTTGTTTGGAGGAGTGCAAACTTGATCAACAGGATCATACGAGAAGAATTATTTCATGCTCGTACAATTGTTGCCATCTGTGGAAATTTGCACAAAGAGCAAAACCTCTTGATCAAGTTTTCTTCTCTAGTTGAAAGCAATGGCACACAATGAAGACTTGCCGTAATCTGCTATTGATGGGCAAACACCGGAAGGGGATGGGAGGCGCGAAGGTTTGCCTTCTATCCCATCCATGGCGGAATTAGATCCCCAGCAAAGGAATCTGCGGAGAGAAGCGAGAGAAAGACAGGGCTCAAGTCCACACCGCTCTCAAAGCCCTGATAGACAGAGGTGGAAGATGGGTCCTCAGGTTCTCGAAGATCGCATAAGGGAGCAAGACGAAGTAATAAGAAGAATGGTGGCTGACATAGAGTCTATGAAGAGCTGGATAAAAGGCAAAGGGGTGGCAATAAAAGAGGGGCGCAAAGGCAACACACACTCTTGCCACTCAGAATATCGTGATAGATAAGTCACACTATCACAAACTAAAAGCAGAAGCCTCAGGTCAGGCGATACACAATCAAAAACTTCCAGGACACGCTACTCCAGGCTTGGGAGAATGAGGACTGAAAGGGCTCGAAGGAGAGAAGACACTCAGGCTCGCGACCCCCGCAGAGTCTCCGCACTACAATGATTGGCTCCTATAACACATAGGAGTGTCGAGGTTGGAATTCCAGAGCCACGCCTTGCCTATGAACCAGCGGACAAAGCGTTAGCAATGTTGCAGAGCTCACCGTTCATTCCGACAATAGAGAACGCACCATTACCCTCAGGCTTCCACCAGCCCAAATTCACTACTTATGAGGAGAAGTCGGACCCCTACATACACTTGAGCCACTTTTACCAGGTTATGGCCGTGTATCGGCGAAATGAGGCTCTAATGTGTATCCTGTTTCCTTCTAGCCTTGGTGACCTGGGTTTAGCGTGGTTTGAAAGGTTGCCAGAAGGTAGCATAGCTTCATGGGCGCAACTAGTGGAGGCATTTGTGACCAGATTCAGAGCGAACACCAAGACACCAGTGGAGATTGACCAGCTTCTCTCCGTAGACATAGACGAGAAAGAAACATTGAGGTCTTACAATAATCGGTATTGGGAGACTTTTAATCAGATTGGAGATTGCCCTACAAACCTAGCTATCGCACAGTACAAACGAGGTTTGCCGGCTAGCAATAAGTTGAGGGATTCAATGACAATGACGCCGCCCCTTACTATGGAAGCCCTAATGGAGAGAGTACACCAACACATCCGGGTAGAGGAAGATAGGGCGCACACCAAGGAAGAGTCCGGCACAACAGCGATACCAGACAAAAAGCCTTTGGTGAAAGTTAACACGGTTGACAAGTAGGACCGACCGCACAAGAGTCTTTGCCCGAGTGGGGGGCAATTAAGAAGTTTGGCTGGAATAACCAAACATTTAGCTCTCTTCAGCCGAGATCAGGATCTAGGCTGAAGAACGTTGGCCAGAATAACCAACTTTGAGCTCTCTTCAGTCGAGATCAGCATCTAGGCTGAAGAGGTTGGCCAAAATAACCAACACCTCGCTCTAGGTAGGCAGGAATAACCAACTTTGAGCTCTCTTCAGCCGAGATCAGGATCTAGGCTGAAGAAGTTTGGCAGGAATAACCAAACATTTAGCTCTCTTCAGCCGAGATAAGGATCTAGGCTGAAGAGTGGTTAGTTGGAAAAACCAACACTTTCCTAAGCCGAGAAAAGGATCTAGGCTGCAGGAAGTTGGCAGGTATGGTCAACATTTAGTTCTCTTCAGCCGAGATAAGGATCGAGGCTGAAGAGTGGTTGGCTGGAAAAACCAATACTTTCTTAAGCCGAGATAAGGATCCAGGCTGCAGGAAGTTGGCAGGTATGACCAACAAAACTTTTTTGCACCTTTTAGCCGAGATCAGGATCTAGGCTAAAGGCGGTTGGCAGGTATGGCCAAACAAAACTTTTGCACTCTTTGGCCAGGATGACAGTTAGCCCGGTTACACAGAAAGAACGTCTTCTAATGCGATTGCGAACTTGAAGGATATAAATGTTGAAGGCAAAAATGCGGGGCTGGCTGTTCAAATTTTTGAAGGTACATAACGATTGTAGCAGGAGGACGAGGATAATGGGGGCATGTCACGTATCCTGGGAATGACGTCGTATCAAGCATACCAGATTAATGGAAGGATGTGTTGAGCAGCTGACAAGGCTTATTGGGGCCGAACAAGCTGTGAAACCGAACAATTTTTTAGCTCGGCAAAGTGGGGTGTTCTTAGCTCGGCTGGAGGAAAAATAATCCCAATCATGCTACGCAGATGGAATTAAGGGCAATTGAGAGGGTAATTTGTGAGCAAATTGGGCTAAGCTAGGACGAGTCTTCTTTGGAAGTTGGGCCGCGCAATGGGCCAAGGAGATATTTTGTATTTCGGCTTTGGGTCGAGGTAGGTACTAGGACGGTTGGATGTGTTGCTGGGATTGGGACCTATTTATCTTCTGACCGGGATGATGGCAGGGATACTAACCTGTAGCATGGTCATCACGGCTCGCCCATGTTGAGCACGGAGCCAAGGTAACATCAATGGCGAGGGCCGAGCTGTGTATTGCTCGGCAGGGTAGCATTCGATAGATCGACTTTCGATCACAAGGTCCGAATGGCAGAGGACCGAGATAAGGCAGTTCGGTCAAGAATGTATAATCGAGGTAAAGGGTTCAGCCATCTCACTTGGCTTGCAGTGATGAGACTCCTAGGAGGACTCTGCTAAGGAGAGTTAGAGTCCTACTGGGATTGTGCTAACCATCTCACTTGGTTGGTAGTGAGTAGGATTGTGACTCCTAGGAGGACTCTGCTAAGGAGAGTAAAGTCCTACTAGTATTATGCAAACCATCTCACTTGGTTGGTAGTGAGTAGGGTGTGTGATTCCTAGAAGGACTCTTATAAGGAGAGTTGGAATCCTACTAGGAATGTGCCAAGTAAAGTCTATAAAAGCTCATGACCAGACCTATGTACAGGTTTTCCAATTCTTACTCTGGAATACACAGAGCTTATTATCTATTGTCTAGTTGCTGACTTAGGCATCGGAGGGATTTCAGGCACACACCCGCCGGTTAGCTCATGTTTGTGTTTTTAGGTGGCAAAGCAACGTTGTTTGAAGGAGTGCAAACTTGATCAACAGGATCATACGAGAAGAATTATTTCGTGCTCGTACAACATTTAAACAAATTAATATATCATCTATTCACAAAAAGTCATAATAAACGATAACAAGAACTAAGACGAGAAGGGGAAAACATTCAACATCCAACAATATTTTTCACAAAAGCACTAAATAAGAGAGGCAAAAGATTAAAAAATAAAAAATAAAAAAATAGCCCTGCCGTATCCCATGCCGTGTCCCCTACAAAAAAATCATTAAATTAAAGGAACACGCCATCTGGCGTGTCCCCGTGTCGGACACCGCCATGACACTGATTTTAGAGTGTCCATGCTTCATAGGTCGTACCCGTATCAAGTACTTACTGATGTATGGTACTTTTACATACGTACTGGGTACACGAAATACGTATCCAAATTTTTTCTTTTTAATTTTGGCATATCCAGACGTACCTAGTATATACTCAACCCGTATCGTACCTTAGTTGAAACAATATTTTCTTCTACTACAGAGATAAAACTCCTTTCACTAATTTTATTTTATTTTTTTTTTAGTTTTATACTTAGCGTGATTTTAAAATCAAACTATGGTTTGTAAATTATTAATATATTGATATTTAATTTTGATTAATATCTTTACTTTTGACATTAAATGTTAATTATAGGTTGGACCTTAACAAATTAAACCATTTAATTAATTTTTGCATTACTCTAAATTAAAAATAAATATTTATTTACAAGTATACTGAGTCGTACCGTATCTTATTTTTTTTGAATTTTACCATATCAACGTACCCGTATCATATTTCTACCAATACTTGTATCCGTACCCATCTTTCATATATAAGATGTAAACCTATTGGGTGCAGCTTTTTGGATAAGATCTGAACGTGTTTGGTAAATGAACTGTTAAATTGACTTTTTGTTGTATACTTGTCCAAAATGCCCTTAGAAGCAACATACCAAGGCCCATAAAGAAAGGGGCAGGTTTATATTAAGGGCACATTAGTAAATAACTAATTTCTGCATGGTCATTTTTTTCCAAAATGTTATAGCTGATGATCCAATAAGTGCCAAAAAAGCTCCTCCAAAACAACCTCAAAACGTTGACTTTGTTAGGCCAAATAAGCTGAAAAGGCAAATAAGAAGAATAATTGACACCAAATAACAAACATTGACTTTTTAAGACAAAAAGGCAAAAGTGATAGCTTATAATTTTTCCCAAATAGGGTCCAAAAAAGAAAAAGAAAGAAAAAAGAAAAAGAAGAAAATAAAAATAACAATAAAAATAAGAGCCCCAATCTTGAATTGTTGCAATCATAATCTTGTTAAATTTTTAGCTTCCTTCACCGTATGGACCCATTCAACACGCAAATTGCACACCTGCCCTGCATTTTTCTGTGAACTGGCATTGTTTCGTTTAACAAGTGCATTGCTTGCAAAAGTTTTTGTTATTGCTTCGAGCTTTTATATTACCTGTTCTGCTTCCAATTTTCTATTTCTGCAATGACTGGCAACATGCTAGCTAGAACAGCAACTATACTTAACAGAAATTCAGCTCATCTACTACCAGTTCTATTTCTGTTTTAATGTTAAGTTAGCACTTAATGCTTCACAACAATGAAGTAGATGCCTCTTTCGATTCTTGACATTTTTTTGTTTTTGTTTTTGTTTTTGTTTTGGAAACAGCATGAAGGCTCTCCGGCGTGAGAGGGAGATGCTGTGCAAGCAAATGCAGAAGAAAATCCCAGAAAGAGACAGAGAGTGCCTCTACCTTAAGTGGGGTATCAAGATCAATTCAAAGAACAGGAGGTTACAGTTGGCAGATCTCTTGTGGTCTAACACCAAGGACATGGATCACATTGCTGATAGCGCCTTTCTCATAGCAAAGCTGGTTGGTATTGTAGAGTCGGGCCAGACTCCCAAAGAAATGTTCGGGATTCATTTTTTGCTTGGCCCCCCTAGGAAAAGCTCTTATAGTCTCAAAAGTAGTGTGATTTCTCTTTTGTAAGCTTCTTGCATATCGCCAAAGACACTCGTTATGTGAAGACTATTGCTCTCTACCTCTTGCAAATATAGGTTTTGATTTGCTTTTACTGATTTTCATTTGGTGTTTTTTTTTTTAATTGATTGAGGTTTGTAAAAATTTGTTGACTCTGGAAATGGTGTATATGTAATATTTCCTTTCTCCTGTTTTTTGTTAGGAGGCTTTCGAAAAGATGTGATTAGGCTTGAAAGCTCATAAAATGTACAAAAGATCTATTGACTGGCCACTGTTATTTGTTATCATTTTTGAAAGCACTCTGCATCCTGTTCCTTTCTTTTTTAATTTTTTTTTTTTTTTAGGTTCCTGGTAAAGTTGCTATGAGCTGTTTGTTGGGAATTTCCAAAATAAAATAGGTCTAATTTTGGTAGTTTTCAAAACATTCCTATTTTTATAAAATTGCTTAATAACGGACACATGAAATATTCTATTGAATAAGAAATTGTGAAGAATGATGCTAGTGTGCATGGTGTGTGAGTGATTTTCCGATCACACTGCCCAACTCAGCTGGAGAGTACCGGCAGAATAGATGACACCTGATTGACCTGCAACAGAAAGAGAAGATTTCAGCGGTGGTTCGTCCAACCGAGGGCACTCCGACGATCAAATCAGTATATCTCTCAAAGATAATCAATAGTGCTAAACTCACTGTTCAGAATATAAATTGCGTACCTTAGACCCATGGGGGTGCCTCTCGTTTATAGTCAACTCAATCCTTGTCCCACTAGAAGTCTAGCTTCAATGGACTCTTTGCTCAATGCCTATCCTGGACTCTCCAAGAGATAAAGATAAACTCCCTAAGAGTTTTATCCTTATCCATGCCATAGTCCCTTCTTATTCTAGGACTCTTGTCCCCTATCCGCTTATCTCAGATTCCGGTATTCTCGCAGATAACCTTGGCCTAGCCGAGATCATCTCGGTATCATGACTAGGACACGTGGCATCTCGGCTGACACGTCGGCGTCACCTTGGCCACATGCTGGGACTCAGGAAATATATCCCCACACATGAATAGGGGTCGTGGTGTACGTTGTGTGGCGAACATGATATCTGTCTCAATCGGTACTTCCTGCCAGTACATCGGCTTACGCCGAGATCATCACTTTAGGCCGACATGTCTTCTTAAAGATCAAGATTTCCAAGAACTTCTTCACGCGCATGAGCTGTCATGCGTAACAACTCGACCGTTTTTAGCCACGCGTCTTTTTCTTACTGGATCGTACCTGATACGCATCTGTAAATCGAATCATTCTCACGTGCGCCGTCTGGCGCATACGTTCTTCTAGGAACATTTATGACCTTTTTGCCGCCGTTTCTGTTTTATCAAAACTTCTTTCTTTCCCCCGTCTTTTCACTTTTCATTGTTTCTGAAGTTCTCTCTCTCTCTAGCTTTCCATCTCTTCCATTGTTCCAAGCTTTCAAGCTCTGCTACCACTGTTGTTCTCCTCTTCCGGCGAGACGCTTGCTATTCTTCTCCGCTGCTACCGTTCGTCTGATTTCGGCGAACTCAACACCGGCCTTTCTTTTTCTGGTAAGTCATTGTTTCTCCTGGTTTCAATTTCTTATTACCTTACTGAACTTTCCATTTTACCTGTTGTCTTTGCAATCTTGTTCATACTTCTGATATTTCATCTTGCATTTTGTATTCCACCATACATTTGAACTTGTTTGCTTCATGATTTTGTTTTTACCCAAATCATCTTCTTGAATATACATTGTTCACACACTAGTTGATTTCTGTCACTATTCTTGGCCTGATACCCTTTTGTTCTTTCAATGTTCTTGAAAATCCATCTTTGTTCTTAATTCTGAAGCGCATCCCTGTTTTTCTGTTTTTCCAGATCCGTGCATCCAATCTTCGTTTCCATAGATCTAGGCTTGGGATTTGCCTGTAGAACCCTTGATTTTTAGGAATAACTGAAACTATTTCCACAAATTCTTACCCAGCATATAATTTTGGTTTTTGCCGAGGTCCTAATAACCCTTTTAAAATACCTTTATGAAATTCAACCCCTTTAGTTAAGCCGATATCATAGGTATGTGGAAGCATAGGGTAGACACCCCGACAAAATTAGACTACTTTAGGCGAGAGTTTTTCATCCCTGCCGACGTTCATTTGAGGTTGGCTGGGGATGACGACTCTATCATGCCCACGACTGACTCTATGCCCTTCCATGTTGTAGCCTTTATTGAGTGCGGACTTCGGCTTTCACTCAACACCATTTTTCGTGAAATACGTCATTACTATAAGTTGAACCCTATGCAACTTGCCATCAATTCCTATCGAGTTATTAACGGTATAATTGCCTTAGCGAAACAAGAAAATGCTAGGATCACCTTAGCCGACATTCAATATTGCTACACCATGTGTGGCCTAAAAAAAGATACAGGCTATATTTACTATCTTAAGCCGAGGTTCACAGAATACAAAATCGTAGCCGACCTCCCAGACTCCAACAAGGGAGCTTGAGATGATTACTTCATTATCTCGGGGAACTGGGAATTTGCTCCAGACGAGGACCTTCATCTCTACCCTGTTCCTCGATCAGTTTTTGTAGAGGGCAATGGTAAGAGCCCTGTGTTCATATTACTTATTTGTTTCAAAGTCTTTGATACTCTATTTGTTTCTAATGTATGTTTTTTCTTGCAGCTCTTCCTCAGCCTCCAAAGGGTTTCTGTCAGTCTTTCTTTCCCAGCAAAGACTTGAGGAGACTTTTGGATCTGCCAGTTCTCAAGGGGAAAGCCCCTCTACTGCTTAATTTCATTCCGACGTATAAGTCGGCTCTTCCTGACGTCCCAAAAAAGAAGAAGAAAAGCCTTTCTCCACCTTCTGCCACAACTCCACAAGTTGCATCCTCATCTCGGCAAGACCAAGGATCGGTCTCTGATCCAGCCGAGCAACCGTCAACCTCGGCTCCATACCTGATCCCGATATCCCAACGACAATGTTGGCGACGAACCGTTTTTGCTGCTGAAATGGGCCGCCAGAAAGCTGTTGCCAAAGATCTCTTGGCCAGCATCCCTTCTGATGTTGACGCTCAGCCTACACAAACTCAGCCTCCACCAAAACAAAAAAGAATAAAAAAGGCTCAACCAAAGGCAAAGGTGACTCAGGTTGATACTGAGGATACTTTGCCTATTTCTAAAGTGGCTGAAAGCGATAAGTCTCAATCTGCTTCTGGGAAGAGGCGTTCTGAAGCCCAACCATCCAAATCCCCAAGATCAAAGAGGCCGAGGTCATCCTCTGCAACCACCTCGGGGTCCAAAAAACATGATGCCCCATGGGCCCTCAAAATCACTCTGGAAGATAAGTCAGTCATGGCCAATGATAGTGTCGATGACATTAATGTCAGTGTTGCCCTAAGTACTGCTCTACTTCTTCCTAGCGATTGTCATTGAAATGCCGAGTTAAGCGAGTATAAAAACTATGCCTTGATGCTTCAGTGCTTTGTCCAAGTAAGTGTCTTTATCTGGTAACTTTTTCTTTCTTTCTTGCACTTAGAAAATTTTCTAATACCTTTTGTCTTGTTCACTTTCAGGCCATTCAGCATGCTCATTCCTTCTCAGTTCAATCTTTTGGGACCCGAGAGAAGCTGGCCGAGAAGAAGAGGGAGGTCTCCACTCTTCAAAAGACTAATAAAAACTTGCAGTCAAAGATGAAGACCCTGGAAGATCAGGCTGAGGATGCTATCAAAGCTCAATATGATGCCAGAGAGAAAGCAGGTGTTGCTGAGGCAATAAACAAAGTCCTTCAAGCCTAGCTGAAAGAGGCCGAGGACAAGATGGCCGAGGCCCAAAGGGAGCTTCAAGATGCCCTGGCCACTAAAGAGGCCGAGGTCAAGGCCGCCGACGAAAAGGGCTATAATGAGGGGGTGGCCGACGTCACGACGGACTACGAAAAGTAAATGAAGCAGGCATGCAACAAGGGTTTTACCCTTGGTTGGATGTCTCTTCTAAAGAAGCTTGAAGTCCCCGAGGACTCGCCCCTTCGGAAGGCCGACACCATTCCTCTTCCATTCCCTCCAACTCTAACTCAATCAGATGACGACTCTAAATCTGAGGAGGAGGTTTTGATGAGGAAGTCAAAAGATGTTGCTGGGGCCAAGTCTCCTCCTCAAAATGAGTAAATCCTGGACTTGACTCAAGATGAGGAGGATGAGGAAGTCCCCAAGGATGCCACTTCAAAGAAGGCGTCATCGAACGTGCCTCCTGCCAACAAGAGCATAGATAAAACCCTTCAAGAAATTGATGCTGAACTTGCGGCCAAGAAGGTTGCCGAGATGTCTTTTCAGCAGTCCTCCGAGGTCCAAACCCAGCCTGCTGCTGAAGACCCTTGATTTCATGTTTTTCTCTTTCTTTTGTGCTTTGTATTTTTCTTTTTGGAACAATTGTAGGCTTTGGCCGATATGTCAACTTTTTAATATAACTCTCTTTTCTGAATGCTTGTATGTGTGCCTTCTTTGTATTACTCTTGTATGATTCCATACTTAGAATAATTTTGTCTTAAAAAATGCTCTTTAGTCTTGTGCAACCTTCTCGGAGTGAAACACCTCGGTAATACAAACTGATGATTTATCTCGGCAAGCGCCCAAGTACCTTTCTAACTATAACCTTGGTTTCATAAAATTTCAACAAGTGTTTTACCTTAGTCTAACTTCAACTTTTAAACTTTTCATAAGTTTCAACAAGTGTTAAACATCATTTCGGTTTAACTTTCAACTTGTAAACTTTTTAAGTTTCAACAAGTATTAAACATTATCTCAGTTTAACTTCAACTTGTAAACATTTTAAGTTTCAACAAGTGTTAGACATTATCTCGGTTTAGTTTCAACTTGTTAACTTTTTAAGTTTCAACAAGTGTTAAACATCATTTCAGTTTAACTTCAACTTGTAAACTTTTCTTAAGTTTCAACAAGTGTTAAACATCATTTCGGTTTAACTTCAACTTATAAACTTTTCTCAAGTTTTCAACAAGTGTTAAACATCATTTCGGTTTAACTTTAACTTATAAACTTTTCTTAAGTTTTCAACAAGTGTTAAACATCATTTCGGTTTAACTTCAACTTGTAAACTTTTCTCAAGTTTCAACACGTGTTAAACATCATTTCTTCTCTCTGCCCCCTAATGTGAACTTAAGTTCCACTTGGGGTCTCATTATGCACGTATTCCGAAACAACATTATGTATCTCCATCAGTCACAAATATAAACGAATTCTGCTAAAATTTTATTCATTACGTCGGCAAATAACAAGAA